TCCAGTATTATCTTCCTTATTTTAGTATTTTCCTAGTGTGTACCTTAAGTCACGTATTATGAGATTATGGTCGCACTTGTTTTAATGATCTTGCCTATGCTAATATTTGACACTATAAAATCGGACAACTTAATCAGAAATCAGAGAGATCATTTTGACTTTAAATTTATGTATTGAATAATTAATTTAAAAATTCTAAAAGAATTTAAAGATAAAAGCATCAGAATTTCAGCAGCAAAATATTTATAAACAATACAATTACTGTTCAAGTACAGCGCTCTGTTCACTTTCTATTCTATTCAGCATCTCTGAATAAATTCGAATTTTGAATTTATTTAACATATTTTTCTATTTTATTTGCTTTAAATGTATTTAAATAGTAGATTTTATTATTTTTTTCATTAATTTCACTAACATTTTCTTACCTTTTACTTTTAAACAATTGCAATTTGTTATCTGTTACAGAGATTATAACATTTTTCTAGGACTAAGTTATCTGTTACCATCAACATCATTTTCATTATTTTCACTTCATTGCAGAATAATGTTTTCTCTAAAATTCCTTTCATATTCTTTTTTCCGTTTGTACCTATTTTTTCTGGTGCATCACAAAGAAAACTTCTTAATCTCAACTCATCCAGTGTGTGATACTTTCTACTCTTTTTTTATCTCGTGGTTTTTAGTTTTAAACTTGGGTTTCGTAGGATTTTCTTTCCACGTGACCTCTGTCCATTTCTTTTTTTCACGCTAGCAATAACATCGAATGTATCTTCTTAACATACAGGGTGATTCAGACAACTTCTATCGAATCACCCTTATATCTCCAAGAGTGTTGAAGATAAAATCAAACGGTAGAAAGTGTATTACTAGAATGCATCCGAAGAATTCAAAGAATAAAAAAATATATATATATATATAAAAAGGTTACATTCTTCTAAAGAGAGAAGGAAAGAAGTTTAAACGAAAACATGTTTCATTCAAAATCGTCTTGCTTATGCAATTAAATATGCAGTTATTGATAATATTGTTTTTGAAAGTCTGCAAATAATTTATATTTTTACTCCTCATATTTTAGAATTAGAGAGTGATTATAATACCTTTCTTCGAGGCTAGATCTTTGTTCTTTCTCTTATGTAAATTCCAGATTATTTAAATTATCTTGTTAATCTCTTCCTTCCTTAGAACTTTCTAATTATCTCAGGCAATCCGTATCATCCTAGATAATATTTAATTCTGAAAAGGTATAAAAAACAGTTATCTGGATAATCCTGAACTTCTTAATTTTGATAGTTATAAGTGATTTTTGGTATCATTAAAGTTTAAAAAATGCAAAGATTATATTGATAAAAAGACGTTTTGAGTAGGAGAAACAAGCTGTTTTATAAGTTTTCATTTAATTAAAAAAGGATCAAATTTCGTCCAATCCGATTGTACATCTTCTCTTCTCCATCTCAATTAAAATATCTCATTTCTCTAATGACTCCTACCTGATGTAAAAGTTAACATTGTTTGCTATTTTTAGAGTCGATAATCCGACTTGTAACGACTGATTTGAATCTAATCGTGAGTCAATTTAACTCAGTTTAAATAACGCATGCAATAAATTTCCAAAAATCAATCTTTTGTGTAATTAGTATCTATTTTTAATATAATTATAAATTAATTAGTTATATAATACTTTAATTAATTTTCATAAAATTTATCTCTTGCCATAAGAGAAATAATACAACTCATCCAGGTGTTCTCAACAGTGAGTGATACCATTCTTATCTTTCGATATGTTTTCTAGTGACACTATATTTGTTTTCTGAACATGGTTTTATTTGCTTCTTTTATAGATTTTATCATTTTTTCTTGGCATAAAAATTTAATTCGGGTCGACCGAATGTTTCGTATCGAACGGAACTTCCCAACTTAATCGACCTTTATTGTTGAATACATAAATGCTACTTTTCCAGCCATGGAAGTCAATCTTTGGCTTAATTTATACGTTTAATTTGCGAAAGAACTCGATTAACTACTATCTTATGCAGGAGAGTCCCCGTAATGCCAGGGATCTCGTAAAATTTCACAAAAATTGATTTCTTGCAAGATGGAGGTCTATCGAGCCTCTCCGTATACTTCGCCTCCATTCTAAACATTCTCACGCATTTACAACGCTTCCATCCAACCTGTTCCTTCCTATTTAACATTGTTTATGCTGTCAGAATCGGTATCGACGACTTTATAACAGATGACGACATCTGGACTTAAAGAGGAACCCTTTGCTTACAATAGTAACCCGGGTGGTCCACTCGACCACCAACGGAGCGATTAACATAACAAGATATGGTACAAATTAGATACTTTAGTTTTTAAAATTAAAAATAAGATTTTCTGCTATTTTTAAAGAACCTTCCGAAGTCACCGGATGTCATCAGAAGTGGGCAGGAGCAAAGAAATTAGACACGCTACAATTGAATCTCATTTGCAATGCTTATTCGTTTATTCGGGATATTTCCGATCGATTTTAAAGAAAAGCTTTAAAGAGAAAAACTTTCTCGACACATATGAATAAAATGTTTGACAGTGGTTGTTGACAGACAGCGTCTTGTTCGCGGTTTTCGTAATGGAAGCTAGTCGTTTCCCTGTAAACTGGCTTCCCTGCGGGATTCTCCTTTCCGATTGGTCGGAAAATGTGGATCCGCCAGAGACTTCTGGTAATTTTAGGAGTGCTGAAGTGATACTGATCCGAGTTATAGCTGCTTTTTCGTCTCCTCCACTTTTTTTTGTTTTTTATTACTATACTGAATGACTCGAGTTCCGTATTAGTTCTGTATATTAGGAGAGAACTTCTTGCCAGGGTGTTGATATGCCATTTTACTTGAAAACTTTTACACCTTACAAATTCTCTGCTATCTTTAATATTCTCCTAAAACTTTTAAATTTAAAATTTCTCATTCAAAACAAAGTAAATCTTTTAAGTTTTCCTTTTAATTTCAATTTTGTTCGTCTGAAAAATTAGAAATTTTCCGCCAATTTTTTCACAAAAATTTAATAATGATTTCTGTTAAATTTACTAAAATAATTACGATTTATATTGTTCATTTATTAAATTAAATTATTAAAAGTGTTTACACTCGCGTAAGTCCCTTTAGATGTGAAGAAAATTAATAAAATAGAATTAAACAAATTGTTTACCTGATAAAAATCGAATAAAAATCTTTTTTAAAAATATATTTCGGTAAGGATTGTTGTTGAAAAACTGAAAAATTCTAGCAAGTTTCTCCACGTATAGGTTATGTAAATCCCTAAATACTTTTCCATTCGAGAAACGGCACAATTGTAATCAAATTAAAGGAAGAGGAAGAGACAGAGATATTTTTGCTAGTGTGTTACATTCGGCTCGCCATCGATCCCGGGAATAATTGCAAAATGGCATATAAGGCCATTATATCCGGGTGGGATGAAGTGGAAAACCTTAGTAAACTGTTCGATTGATTGGGAATGGGCGCGATTTAAAGCTATGGCTCTTTTCATCCGTCCAAAACCCAACAGAATTATTATGGGCAAACAAAGATTGGCCACCCCCTCCACCCTCGCTTGGCTCTCACCAACAAATTGAGCGTCTTACTAAAGCCGAGAGCTGGCGACGCCTTTCTGGCGCCCCCTTATTGACGTGCTACGATCTGAGGCAGAGATTTAGAGATCTGACTGACAGCCGGCATTTCTACCAGGGCGATAGCCAACCATTCTAATTGAATAGACCCAGTCAATGGTGTTTCTCATCAGGTGACGTCTACCATTTTTTTTTTATCGTGCAAATTGCCAGTTGGCTTAAACCCTTCTCCTATTTACTTACTTTATCACTCAGGATCCGCTGATGTTTAGCGTAATCACTTTCTCTCCTTTAAAGAGATGAATATGCAAACAGCCTTTGTAACAAATTCCGTGCACAAATGTCCCCCCGAGGCACCCTGTTTGAAAAATTGATTGTTTGCGCCGATGTTTAATGCGCTGAGAGTTTTATCTCGTTATCTATTCGATATGTTAGGTGAATCGTTCAACAGTTTCTTTTTCTCCATTTCTATATTCTTCCTACAGTAACATCTATCCTATTTTTATTCCAAAACGTTCCACGTCTTCATTAATGTTAAATTATCGAAGAAGCAATAACCTCGATTACATCCGTATAATCTTGCCGATTGATATAGGCAATATATAGGAAACACCTCATAAACTATTCACAGATTCCCATAGAAAGAAAGAGCGTTTAGATGAGGAAACACACAAAAAAATGCACAGTTAATAGTCACATTCCAATGACCATTTCCTAGAATGTCTTTGGCATTTCCATCCAGTAGTCGTACCATATTGTCAAAGGTTATGATGCCTTCTCTCTTTATCTCTACTCTCGCTTGTTTTCGGACAATAAACGATTTTCCGACATCTTATTGACTGCACTGGATGCACCAAGCATAGATAAAGCTGGCAAATATAAGACGGAGAAACCATTAAGCTTGCGACCTTCGTGATGTATAAGTATTTACGTCACGAACACGTAACCGAGTAGTTGGTCCGGAAAATATTGATAACATCAATCAAAATCCTCCCCCGTTCAAAATTATACACAATAATAGAATAAAGGTAAACAACGGATCGGAAACTAAGCGCGGATATGCGATTGGAGAGGAAGAGGAAGAAGAACAATGTTTTATAAGCATTATCGAATTAACTTTTGGCGTCTGGTAAACATCTAATCAACAATAAACAGATTAACGATAGAAGTTATCCTACGTGTTGCTTCAGATGTAAATTTTTCGGTCTAATAAATGAATTTTTAAAAAAAGGTGCCTTACCTAGGAAGGAAGTTAGGTTTAATAATTTAAGCCTTTAATACGCTAACTTTGAAAACATCTGCGAAATTTCTTCAATCGATGTGTGAATAGTATAAACCAGTGTTTACACATAAAAGGAGGGATCGATCGGAAGTAGTTGGCCGTCTTTCCACCAGCTGGCAGCACTATATGTCCCTCTATCCTTCTTCTATAATGACGTCGATGCGAACAGTAGAGAATATTCGGGAGGAGGAGGGCATCAATCGCCAGGCTTACGCACGCAACATCAGCAGCATCGCTGTATGTCGGTGTCACATTCAGTGACTAGTTCTTTGGGTCTGTGACTTTTTTTTCGTACTGTGCAGTCTGGAGTCGGATAAAGGGACGGAATGTGAGAGGTGCGGGCCGGAGGATCAGATCATGACTGCTGGTAAGAAACAGTCAAAACTTCCACCGCCCCAACCGTCTCCAGCGAAAGAGGTAAGTCAACCAGTTGCGTATCAGGTATCGATAAGATAAGCAAAGTTGTAGCCGCTCGCCTTCATCTGTTGAGGAACTGCGTTTGTGGATTTAGCTACAGGTGTGTTCGATGTTTTCTCTTCTCCCCGGCTACAGGTGGGGCTTATTGATTCGGAAATTGTTACCCTTAATCAAGCATTCATTCATTCAAACCCAGTTCGACATCTGCTCACTCTTAGCACTAGACATTTTTTTTTATCACGCTCCTGCTATCTGTTTATACAAAAAGACGCCAAAACTCTCTTTAAAAATAGATAAACTTCCGCCGTTTTAACATCTTCTACTGTTTTAACGTCTCTCTTACAATAATATTTAGGATTACTCGGAGGTGTTGGCTCTACGCGCCCCGGAAAATAGCCTTTGGGTCTGGAAAAAAAAAGAAAATGACCAAAGTTTTGACTAGGTTTTACGTAACGATCTGCGGATTTTATTGATTTGATTAAGAATTTCGTGAAGAATTCGGATTGGATAAGTACGTAAGTGAGGAAAGATGTTAAGCAAGATGTGCGCTCGATACTCGGATGCATCGGATGATTTATTAAAATAAATAATGCGCAGTCTGTAGTGGTAATTGTAGTTTATTCTCCGCATCAGACATCATTAGAAGTTACGACTGCGGAAACTTCAACTTGGTTAAAATGAAGGTTTAGTTGATCAACTGATACAGATCAATACAATTGCTTGTTTAATGTTTGATTGCATTCAGAGGATGTTTTCGCACCGTTCGCTTCGCCTTAATTAACCATATACTGTTTGGAATGCACGACGATGACAAACGTGTGCAGATGGAGTTACAGGTGAGATGATAATTAGAAGTTCGGACTTTACAGCCTATGCCTTATTGATCACAACATAGAGTCCTGGGGGATAAGGCTAACCTCTTGCGTGACTGAACTTCGGCAAACCAATTTATTATCTCTTTTTTTTTCTATCGGTCTCTCTATGGTTTATTAGGTGTTTCATGTTCGGTTGAGACTCTCTCCTTCCTTTCCAACTGTTCTAAGTGTTCCGGTTGCGTCGTCGGACCGTTTTCGTGGATGGCAAAGTGCACTTTTATGGCCTACCTATATATCGAAGCAACGTTTTGAAGAAGTGGAAGTAATTCGGCGGTGTGTGTGTGTGTCGATGCCTGGTGCAGAATAGAATATTTCTGTATTGTTAGAGATGTCCCATTAAGAAGTAGCGTCGAATGGCTCTTGCACGCGTTGTAACCATTACTGGACGTCTTTGTTCAGGTACATTAAACAGAGGAAATGAAGAGGAACTTTACCTAACTTTCCTGCAGAGCAGACATTCAATTTATACCGATATTACTTTCCATTAGGTGGCAATTACCCACCGACAATTTGGCCTTTCACTGTTTTCTACGTAGTCAACTTTTTGGAAGGAACCTCGACTAATATATCTATCTATCTATATATATATCCCAAGGGAACTTTCTCTTTATTCTCGTCATTTAATTAGTTTTATCGACTTGGAAAACAAATTCTGACAGAACCACTGGGAACGACAATTCGCTTCCATCTTTTGAGGATTCTCCTACCACGTCAAACCAAATAAGTCTCTCTCTCTCTTTTTTTTTATTTGTCTTATATGTTATTCTGTTTACTCTTATTGGAATACTATTCTTTCTCTTTAATCTAGATTACTTAATGAATTAATGTTTAATTGTACGTTTCCGGCGCAGTAAAACTTTAGAAGTTTTAATGTTTTTTATATGTGCGAATGACCGTGAACAAAAATAAATGAATTGTTTGTGTTTGTCATTCATAAAATGTTGCCCGAGTGCTATTTTTGCCTATGCTACTTTGTTTACATTTGTAGAAAGTGATCCTTTGTGCGCATTTTCTTGCAGGAATGTTCAATCTGAAAATAACAATAATCCTATTTTTTGTCCATATACTTTCATATTATTCTTTCTTTGCAACTTTTATGATGTAATTTTTCGAGTAACGTTTCAATACGTTCTTCTTTCTCGCATACATCGCGTTCGCTTTTATATATTAAGCAAAATGTATTTTTTTTCCACACTCGCAATGAAATTTAAAAGAAATATTTTTCACTCCTGTTTCAATAGAAGATGTTGTATCGCTATTGTAGAAGTCGTAAGCTTTTCACTAGCTGCTACGTATTTTTTCTTTCTTATAATCACATATTTGGAACTCGCTTCTAGAACTTGTATTATTCGGCTTCGATCTGTGCATTATACTTCTTTCCTACTTTGATAACTGTATGAATGGATGGAAGAAACGAAAATAAGAACCGGAGAAGCATAAAAATTAGAGTGTAATACGAGAACTGCCTGTAATTACTTGCCTTAAGAATGGTTGCGAGCAAAGAACGCTTCGTCTCTTTCGGTCGTTAAAAATATTCTAGAAACATCAAGGTTGTTTATGGCTGAAGAGACTGCGAAGCGAATCGCCTCTAGAAGAACATTAGAAGAAGGATCGTATTTCGACAACGGAATGATTTGAAAAAGGCCTGCAACTGCACGTGGAAAGACAGGGCGAACGTTACCCATCTGTCAAATGTCACAGTTTCCTTGAGTTTGTTCACCTGAGAAGAAATGCAGTTGGAGATCAGATAGCACAAACCTGATTTGCTTTACAGTATCAGATCAGGCAAAAAAATTGTGTTACAGAAACCACACCACTGTGCAACTTCCAATTCCATATGGAGATATAAGTCTTAAGAGGGAAAGAAGTGACTTTTTTCAATCGGAAGCTTGTAGAAATGGATGCTATGATCGATGCTCGGTTCAATCCATGACACATTCTGCAGACTTTCTATTGTGGGTAACACGATTCCGTGCATGGATTTTCTCCTTGCTTTCTCCCCCTCTCTACCTTTTCTGAATACAAATGATAAATTATATCATAGAATGGGAAATCGGATTTGATCGCATCCCGCGCTAGGAGCAAGTTTCAGAAATTAAATAGTTGCCTCTAGATTCTTGTGCGTCGGAACGTAATGGATTTTTTCGCTATTGGATGTTTTATTTGTGATTTAATCGCAGTCTTTACAACTATCGTCGCTTAAAATGCCAAGTTTCGACTCGAACGGAAGTAATTACATCAGAGCCACTTTTTTTTAACACACCAAAGAAAATTGGATTCACATAGGGGAGGCCTGCAGTTGTAATTACGCGGTTTGCTTCTCAATTACAATTGCTTTATCATCCATTATCTTTCTTAATACTAGATAAGAGAAATCATTAAACGCTGTTCCATCACTTATCTGCAATGGGAGAGATTCTCTGCAATCTTTCATTTCCTTGACGATTGGCTGCAGGACAATACATTTACCTCGGGACATTGACAATCCTTGACGTGTGGAATTCAGTTCGTCAGGTGTCTCCTTGCAATCGCGATTTGCACCAAACGTTTTCATCCTTCACGCTTTTGCAAAGCCCTTTCAACTCACTGAATAGTGCTGCAAGTTTAGCTATTGTCGGTTTGTTTCCAATCTCTGTAATCTGTCTGTTGTGCTAAAGTCCGTCTTTACACATTCCCATTGTCAACTTTCGTATGTATCTTCAGACTGCTTTAACGCCTCTTTACAACTCGCACTGTGTGACAGTAGTATAAAAGAGAAGAATCTCTCCCCGTACAACAGGTTTACCGAAATTTAAAGAAAAAGTAGAGAGAAGATGTTATATTTAACCCAATCTCACCGTTGTTTTTTAGAAGTTTAATGCTGGTTTGGTGTTTTTTCTTTCCTTCTTTCGAGAAACGATAGCGAAGGTATTGAATTGGAAAAGGTCTTTTCAGCGTGCTACCAAACTTCAATCTTTCTTCTTTTCAACTGTATTTGGAACTAGTGCAGAGAAAATGAAGCATCAATCGAAAGAAAGAATCCCCTGGAAAGGGGCGGATGACTGTGACAAGGACGGAATCGGATGTAATACACTAGTGAAGACGGAATAGAGTGACGTTGGAAAGAAAGACATGCTTAAGAAGAAACATGGCTGAAGGAAACAGTTGGAAGGAATGCCGGACAGATAACAGGTTAGCGAGAATCTGGAGGTTGGATAGGGTCTTACGGGTGGATAGATATTAGGTCTCTAGCACGATAGATAATGGGAGCTGGGGGTTGCTAGAAGAGATGGGTCAGTGATAAGTTTTACTATTGTTTACGCTTGGTGGGTGATATAGTTGGGCAACTTCGATCTAACTGGACCTTCTATTGTCGCTGGAATAAAGTGGATTTTCTTTGGCATCATCGATTACAGCTTTTGATAGGAATTTATTCTCGATTTCTATACCCTCTAACATTGAACTTGTGGCTTTCTTCAATCGCAATCTGTTCCTTTATCCTTATGGTTATCCGGCTTGGAGGATCGAAAGTTGTAATGAATAACAATTCTCCGTGTATAAAAATATTTCTAGAAACCACGACTTAACTCTCTATTCGCCGAAATAAATCGTATACTATCTCTGACGGAAGCAGAATTCATCAGAGAAAATTCCCTTTGGGGAAAATGGTTTCCTTTTTTTTTAACTCGACCGCAAATGGTTGCATCAACCAAACTAATGCAGAAGAATCTTTCCAAACAAAAGTTGTTGTCTCAGCTAGAAAGGAGGAATATATTTGCATACATCATTGAGGCTTGCATATCTACTTACAAGCTTTTTTTCTATTTTTAGATTACAGGTAATATTGGCCTATTTCGCTGGAGTAATCGTTAACATTAGATTTAATTTTGTTAATGATAGTGGCAATTGAATCGTCTAGTAAGATTTCTAGGAGGTTTTTAAAGGAGAAAACTCGGTTTAAATTAGGATATATATATATATATTGTTTAATGCTTATAGGAAAAAGCAGAGAGTATTTCTCTTGATAAAGATTAACTCGAAAGGACAGTGATATAAATTAATGAAAAATGTTAAGGTAAGAGCAAAAGAAAGAATACAGATTGATGACCGTCGAAAATGGAGGAGGAACAGATAGACAGACAATGTGATGGGAATGATGGAGTGACAAGGACACAAATTGGTGATTTATGACGAAAATAAAGGAAGAACGGATGAAGGGCGAGGAATGTCAAGATCGAGTAGGACAATGCAAAATGCTGGACAGAAAGCGTGGGATGCATTCGATAAATAAGAAGCAAGACACGCTCTTTCTGTATTTTTGATGGCAAAACGTTTCTGTATGAATCAATATTTACCGTTATCGTTTAGGTAGAATAAAAACTTTCAGTTGATGGTCAACAAATATTCATAGCAGTCGATTTTACGACATTTCAGTCAAAGTTAGGCATCGTATCATAATTCAAGTTGGCAATTTTTATTGAGACAGTTAAAAGATTTCGTGTTATTTGTATGAAGTATTGCATAGCTCTCTCTTCTCATAGATTTACTATCGTGATGTATGATGTACGATCATACTTCTTTAGTCGTATGATAGGGATATGTTTTACAATCTTGCATGCAAGAAATATCTTTTGACGTTGCTACAAGATTTACATCTTTGGTTTTCTTTATGTTAAGGAAAATAAAATGCGACCTTTTACCGAATTTATTATTATTATTTTTATTACGAAATATTTAATAACGATTTTTATTTTATAAAAAAAAATATGAAAGATCTCTAACTGAACTTAGGTTGATGTTTTTCTTTTTTTTTTTTTTTTGGTTCGGTCGCGTGATCATTCTCTTGACACCTTTAATCACGCGATCGTTAGGATCAATCGTGATCGTTTTTTTACAGACCCATAACTAACGGTTATGGGTGTGTAAAAATCAACAAACTATCGCGACAGAAATGGCTGTGCACTCAAGTGTTCACGTGGCAGTAATGACTCTTGCAGAGTCACATGGCCTTCGTGAACTGGATGCTGTCTAGTCACCTGGTTACAACAGTCGATACGATCTCCACAAATATCATAAGAGAAGGTGGGCATCACGCGATCAACTGTACTTATTTAAACGTAGCAATTCTCTTAGTAATGAAAACAAACATCTCCTAAAACTATAATGGACAGGTTAAGAAAAAAGAAAAAATTTAAATTCTCTTCTTAAAGTGAAATGAGCAGCTTTTAACTGGAATAATAAAACGGTGGCAAAAGATATTTGGAATTTTTATGAGCCGACGTTCGTCATTTAAGTCATGTTTTAAACTGCATCAGAGATTACACAGATATGTTGCCACTGGGATTGTGCTCTACCTAATGAAACTTTATATTCCGCTTATATATATAAAGATCAATAAAGGTAGAATTATCGGAAAAATAATAATAATTTTTAAGTTTTCTGTAAAACTTATCCGCTTGGATAAGACGACAGGACAATCACGTGACTAATGGGCGCTATTAATGTCACAAAAACGTCCCAAAAGTAATTTAGAAGTCGTGTCTGTAAGCCCTTAAAAGGCACGAAACTTCCACATTACAGTCATCTGATGGAGAAAAGTTAATAATTTTTTTTCTTCCAGTAGAATTGCGATTTCCCCAGAGGGAAATTCCGATTTTTATAATAATTCACGATCAGAATAGTAAATTTGAATATTTGGAAGAATTTTTTGTGTCGTCACACGAGCAAATAATTTTGAAAAGGTCGAGGAAGAAGAGGAGCTCGCACCTGGATCGATAATAACTTTGGCCTTGTATCAGTCACAACTTTCAACGCGGGGTATTGGAGCGAACTAGAAAGTCGGTTCTGTTTGATATTCAGGGAAGGGATGCTAGGTCACAGTTACACGTATTTTCTCATACAAACGACTCCACAGTTCGTGTCAGAATGGCGTAATAACGCTTCCGTTCGGTGTTGAATACAGATACGCGCATTTTGACGATTCTTTGTGTCGAGAGATTTATAGTACTTTCCCAAGGGGAAATCTGGACTTTACATTGAGCATTTATCTTTCTACAGATGGATAGACGAACTGCTTGTTGATTCTTCTCTTCTTTGTGCGCCTTATAGGCGCTAGCACCTGTCAAGAGAACTGTTACTGCCATAATTATGATGTACGGTGGACGCGAGTCTCGACACAACTCGACAGCCGACATTGATGTGCAACCATTCATCTCCGCGGCAGCTGCTTCGTCTTAAAACCCTTCCCTATTCTGATACCTCGCTGTTTTGAGCTCCATAAAAGCCATTTTTAAATCATACGCTCGAAAAGTTTCTCAGCAAAAATACTACTTTCTAGGGGTTAAATATTTCTTCACTCAACATTTACCTGATTTCTCATAGAAGAAAATGTCTCATTAGCAACTTCTATCGTCAACTACTTCTTAACGGCCAATAGTGTGTATTTATGGGTGATCTGGTAGGTAGTGGCACACTGGCAATTCGTTGTTGTGTTTAGGATTTCAAGAGCCCGCTGGGAGTCTTTACATCTAATGCTTGCACTTGTATTCAGCTTAATTGCACGATAGCAACTTTGTTTAAGAAGGGAATCGGCTCTTTTCTAACTCTCGGCACATGCAGCTCTGCTTTATAGTCCGTTATCTGACGCTTTTTACAGAAGGATATAAACTTCACTCTAAACCTTGGATTTTCTACAAACTTGTTATCTCCAAACGGCCTACTTACATTGCTGACTGAGATATCTAACAGATAACATTCCTTCTAAAGCAACTTTCATTAGAAAAACCTTCTCCCTTCTGCCAAATACTTGCCATTTTTTGATGACGTTGCTTAACAATTTTTTTTAAAAAAGTCCGTGCGATAAACTTATCATCTATATATTTTTTTCCGTTAATGCGTCCTACCAGAAGCGAATTTTAAACAAAATTTACTGAGGTGCGGGGATATTTTTGCTCTACCACCACGATACCATCGACTTAATACACTTCCAAGTTTATTTTATGGTTTGGTGTGTGACTTATCTGAACTTTTGGCATACTTTTATACATCCGAAGTGATTAAGAAAAGACATTTTCGATCGGTAACGGGTAGAGCAATACCATAATCCAGAAGCGCGTTAAATTTTAAGCAGGAGAATAATAGTAGGTAGGAGGATGAGTTGTCTCGAATGTTGTTCGCTACAAATAACATTCCTTAATAGTTAAGCTATAAAAGTGTCGTTTGTGTGTTGCAGGAAGTGGCTGTAGCTGCAGTCGACCGACCTAACTGGCGTGGAATTGGGATTTCGTTGTTGGTGATTGTGGCTGTCTGTTCTCTGATTGCATTGGCAATTTTGCTTCTCACACCAAGTAAGTACTGTCTCTCTCCTATAATAGCTATATACGGGGCCATGCCTCCTATTAAATCGTGCTGACGCTGTCGCGACCGATTTTCCACCTTTTGTGATTATAGCAACATCATCGTTACCATTCCGCCATCATTCGACTTACTGTATTTTATATAACAGCAAAAAAAACGATACGAGAAACGACGTTAAGATAATTAAAATTATGAGTAAACGCAGTTGAAAATATCTAAAATTAGTTAATACTTTATATATAAAAAATCATTAAAAAAAGCAGGAAAAACTAATTGTCAAATTCCACTTTGTAATTAATTTGAGATTTTTTTTAATTAATTTTTTTATAATCAAACTTGCACCTAATATATGAAATTAATGGGTATTTTAATAAGAAATTTCTGAGATTAAATAGCAAAAAAAAACTTAATATTCTGCATTGTTTACGCACATTTTATCCGATTTTTTTCCATTAATTTCGACTTAAATTTCACCAAACTGCTGTAATTTATTACTGTAGAAGCATTGTAAAAATTACATAATTAAAAAGAGAATTGTTTAAAATAATTTAATGTCGGGTAAGATTAATAATCAATTAATAATTAAAGTAATTTTAAATAGTTTAACAAATTAATCACGGCCGAAATTGACCGGATCAATCATTCACTTGAGATAAATATATCGATTTTGCCATCCGATTGTTACCATAACGAGCCAAACCATGGCTATAACGGTTTGCAGAATAGGTAATGTGGTCGAGTATTATCCTGAGCATTGCTTAGCAGAAATGATTAAAAAACGGAAGGGGGAAAGGAGCAAAGTTAATCCTTTTATTGAGGAGTATGGAAATGGGATAAGGAGGCAGCCTGCAGGACACAAATGATTGCAAGAAAACAACATTTGCAGGGACGGCTTGACGAATGGGCAAACTTACACCGGGTGCCTGGTGATAAATTAGGCAACGTTTACGGACAGGTCCTGACTTATAATCTCTTCTGCCTTAGAAAAACTGTACATGTCAGATGGATGTAATTTTCTTTAGCTGTGGAAGAGTGTGTTTTTTTTTCTTCTGGCTCACTCCATCTCCGTTTTATCAAATTTATCCTTGCTCCAACACCAATGTGTTACGTTTCCCTCCCCTTCCGATATACTTTTTTTTTTTCCTCCACTTTTTTGTTTAAGTCTATACGTGCATTGCGATGACATGATGTCGGTGTGATTACGTTCTTTCTTTACACATTTTCGCATGCTTTTTTTGTCTTCTTTTACATTTATTCTGCTTCGGCTGTCAGTTTAGAATAGAAAAGATCGCGAATAAAATTCTGCAAGCAGAAAAAGTATATTCTTTCTTTACTTAAACTTTCGCTGAGCTTTTAAAAACTTTTTTTTTTAAATTTCCTATTCGCTAGCCATAATATTACTTACACATTATCTACTCTGGATATTATTTACAGGTGGATTCTCGCCTTGTTAAGTAAGAAACTATAAATCATCGATGTCTGTAAATTTGTCTGTGCTAAATCTATTAGGAAATCTAGTGACTAGTATGAAGCTTTTTGTTGATCCTCCACTTGTTCCATAATATTCTATGCCACATACATTATGTATCTTTAATATATATAATAGGTGGTCTCGTTTTTTATTAGGAGTGTATAAATCACGGGTAGTTAGTTTGTTTGTCTGTCTGTTGTAACGTCTATTAGGAGGTCCTATGTCCGGTGATAAGTCAGCTTGGTGTTATCTGCAGTAGAAACAAACACGAACGGCACATGTGGGATTACACTTTATGGATCCGTCCCAATTTGTTTTATTACCGCGACATTCGTACACGTGTAAACCAATTGATTGACTCGTTCTATCATGTTAGATTACGAACGACCAGCGAGATAAGTGGCAGTAGACAAAGATCTATGTGTAAGTTTTAATAGAAAATTGTCAATGATGTCGAACACAATCTAAGAACAATCCAGCAGTCGAGAAATGATGTATGAAAGGAAAGCGGAATATCCTTCGAATGGTTAAGGGAATAGACAAAGCCAGACCACGTGACCTGTAAACAGTTGCACTATGGGATGTCGCGGTTGATAGATGGCAGAAACAATCGTTTGGGCAAGAAAGCGTTCGATTGTAGACGTGCTACATTCAAAAGAAAGAGCGAAAGAAGGATGCGCCGGCCACAAATAGAAGACGTTTTCACATCTCTGGGGAGAACCAATGCATTCCCTTACGTAATAGAATTTTAGTCTAGAAATAAATTTTCTTATAAATAAGTTTGAAAATGTTTTATATCGACTGAGCAATTCTAATCTGAACGTTAGCCAACATCTGTTTCTTTGATACATTTTATCACCTTCATCCATTGCTGTTTACTTTTCGCTGTTTCCATACCCGAGTCGCTAGTTGGATAGCTCTTTTTTTATATATTTCTACACTACTCGAAGTTTGTTATGTTTGATCTCTGCAAACAAAGACGAGACAAGTAATTAGTAGAGTTGAGACGCTTATTAACTCTCTTATAAAAACAATAGAGGAACATCAAGTTATGCCGAAAGGCAAAACTTGTTGACAGATTTTCGACAGCAAATGAGTTAGCTCGTTTAAATTAAGTAATTTCTGCTTCTTATCTGTGGCCCGAGTAATGAAAGAATTAGTGTGTGTTCTTTTCTGATATAAGGTAGGTGTCAGTCTGGCGTAATAGCCGATCCTATTTGGAAGCGTGTAGGCTGAAGATTACACTCATGAATTACGTTTTCACTCCGTTTAAATTACCGGAACACATTACTCAGCTAGAAAGTGCTTAATGGATCCATTTTTCCCCGCATAGGACAGTGTCCACTACGTCGTTAGCTAACTAAGTGACAAATGCAATGGCCGGGAATGATAGATCGGACTAGCTTAGTAATTTAGTACGGCACGACCACAAATGTTTGCCAGGCTGTAATAATTGGTATTTCAGGTGGACTAGTTTAACCCGATGAGGTTGGTCTTGAGTTGCTGCTAATGTAACGTTATCCTTTTTGATACGCGATGCTCGCTGATGAATTTGTAAATAGAGAAGTAGCAGGCAGCAGGGCAGGCAGGCAGATGTATGTTTGTCTAATGTATCACGTTACCTACACCTCCGCTGGTTCTTTTCTTTCTACTGCTTTCTACCTCTCACGCTTAAATGGAGTGTACTACACAGTTGGGAAACATTATTAAAGCCGACGAATACGAAGAGATTTGCACTAGTAGAGTGGAAAATATCAGATTTATGATTCAGAAAGTGATTTCATATTCAGGATTTGGCTCCGATATACAAGCTGGATGCTAGTTGATGACACTATTGAAGTTGTTACGTCAATCTATCGGGTAATAAATGATCGTCGAGCTTGGCTGATGGAGTTATTTTTAGCCTCTGGTGTCGTCAATGTTGCTAGGATACCAACGAGTGATTGGACGAAAACGACGGTATCATTGCTTTTTATTCTCTTTAATGCTCAACTGATTCAACAACAGACGTTAAGAATTCCACACCTCAGAACTCGATCCCATAAGAAATTTAAAAGCCATACTAAAGGGAGGTTAAAGGTTTTTAGATGACACTTTCCGGCGTAACGACCTCATCCGTCAAGATCCGTTTCCAGCGCCTGCTTCTTGCAATCTAATACTAACGAGTCGCACCATCTTCGAGTAGAACGTTAATTACCAAGCTTCCTATTGATTGGGTAGATGAGACGATGACGTATCGTAGACACGCAAATGTTAGTTGCAGCCTGAAGGCGATGGATTTCCAATACAGTTGAAGCAGCCTTGTTTGTTTGTCAAGCAAAAGAGCTGTTCAAACTCCCGACACTTGTCACTATTGCTCCGGAAACATTATGTCCAGATGTCACGCTTACTTCCTGTCTTGACACGTCAAATGTTATGTTACCTACTAAATTTTATTGTTTGATTTATCAAATTGAAAATTTTTCTTCTTATTTCAATGAGTTGCACTCCGGTAATAATCCGAAACACCTGCTTACAGCCACTCCACGGTATTATTCTATAATGGAGTACATTTAAATATATATAATTTATCTTCTCCGACGTCTTGCGCTTATTATTTATTATTACAAATGATACATTTTAGTATCTAACGTTGAAAATGATAAATAAAGTTTCACCAACTATAAATGACATTCGCCTTTGATAATAACAAAACATGTTATTTACAACGAAGAATTACGGGTTTCCTATTATCCATGCGAATACAAATTCCTCAACTTCTCAACTGCTACCGATCAAATTTTAAAAGTTAAAAACCAACTAAATCGACCAATAATCATAATTATCAAACGGGACAATAATCAGTGTGTAAAGTATATTGCAAAGCATTTATTTGGGGGATATTCAGCACCACATCTCAACAGTCGATTAACGGTAGGACAAAGACTATAACATTATGCTTTACAGTGTTAAATGCACCACAACACTAACCTATAATTTACTAACCTACTACATCCCCATTAGATGTTGTATAGCGGCACGACATTTCAATCCTGCATAAATTAAATTCCACACATCTACAGTCACGTTGTATCTGCCATAGTTTCTAGCAAGTTGCATTTAACAATCAATACTAACAGTAAGCGAAGGCGGAATTTATAGCCCCGGATCGTTCACCGTATATAGTCCGCATTACGCTCTTAGCATTAAAACAAATGACATTAACTTAGTTTAATTCTGTCACTTCAATGACAGATAATATAGGATTTAACGAAATCTGTCTGCTCATATTTGGTCGATCTTAAACTGGGTAACGTTACTTTGTAAATGCATCTTTCGCATTTATATCTGATACTTTATCACGTGTCTGTTCCGTTACGGTTACGTAACGCTTTCATTTTTCTATTGTTTCATACCTGGAAAATTAATACAAAGCAACAAGTTTATAAAATTTTATGGGTAAACTATGGAGGAATCGCATGGTTCGAGATTTAACATCGTTGCTCCTTTAATTCGGCATCGTTCTCTTTCTTTCTACGG